ACAGCCCCAAACGTCCATTCGTCTTGGGGGGTCGACAAATAATTTTTGATCCGGCCTCGATCCGCCCGGAGAATAATTCTTCCGCTATATTTCACCACGGGGCGCTCGTGTTCGCGTGCCAACTCGTCCTTTGCGATGTTCTTCGGTTATTAAAGCGGCGTTTAAACCGAGGGGATATGCATACGCGAGGCCTTAGCCCAGTTCGCCCAGGGAGACGGATATCCTCGCGTGGGCGATGTTGTTCCGCGATAAAGACATCAACCACCGGCGATACACGCCGTGTTAGGGTAGATACAACTATTCAGAACCGTACGGAACTACCCACACGCGTCATGTATGAAATCACTTTCCAAATACAAAAGCTATAACTCGTTTTAGTACTCCATTGCGTTTGTGGAAAGACTCGTTCATTTTCTCAGTTTCCAAATTACTGAAAACAGGGTGGTATTTATATTTTCACAGTCAATATGTGAAAATAATCTGTAAGATATTTTCCCTTTAATATCTAAATTCAATGGTTTGTACAGAAAGCTGGCTCGAACGTAACTAATTAAATTATTAATAACAAACGATTAACTAATAAAATGAACAACTTCTAACCGTCACATAATATAATATAATATAATATAACCGCATTCATTCATTACAAACCTAAAGGTTGCTTACAAATCGAGAATAGTTTTTCAAATTTGTATTTTTTAAATTTCGTTTCCAATAATCTACGATAATATTTGTGTTTCTATGAACATCAAGCAATCAATACGTGAAAATAATTTGACAATTTAAAAATGTTTCGAGAATAATTTAGCAAATTTGTATTTTTTAAATTTCGTTTCCAATAATCTACGATAATATTTGTATTTTTGTAAACATCAAGCAATCAATACGTGAAAATAATCTGACAATTTAAAAATGTTTCGAAAATGGTTTTTCTTATACTTTATCTTTTATATTTAATTTTCAACGATCCACGTTGTAAACGATTTCTCTGTGAAAGGATGTACCGAGGCAAGGTGTCATATATTTTATAGTTGGCGTTTCCGGCACTCTTCTTCCCGGTAGAAATTTGCGATGTTATATAGCTAATATTTTGAGTCGGTCTACTTCAGGGATACGTTCTAAATTTCTCCGCGGTCCCTCCAGCCGTTCCCCAGTTGCGCAACAAAATATCAGACGGCAATATTTCGGGCAAAAATATCACCAAACATTTCGCGCGACAAACTATTACAAAGAAAGTAAATAAACCAGAAGCATATTCAGTCAATGATTTAAATATAAATCTAAACTGTTTCTCCATCGAATAAAAAGTTTTTAAATCTTAAATCTATCCAGAATTATTTATTTCCATCTCGACAAAAAAATTAACACTAGATTTACGGAAGGTGTCAATTTGACAGATGTCAGATTCCATATTTAAAATTGCAGAACGCGTAAATATGATTTTTTAACAACTTATGTTGAATTTGAGTGGTGCAATGGTATAAATACATATTCTAATTAAAAGAAAAATCGTATTTTAAAGTAATCTAGTGTTAAACATTCTATTTCTAGTTCTAAATTAACCTTAATTTTGATTTCAGTTTTCGTTCCACAGGCGAAACTTCAGACGTTAATAACTCTTAAACGAAGCCTCAATCAACAAACCACTATTCTTGATTTTCGTCTTATTTTTGCTTCTAAAATCTCCCATTAAATGCCCTGTATAATAAATAACAAAATAAATAAAAATTCTAGAGTGTAGCTCGTTTCAGTCGACAAATATTGACCAGAGACAAAAATGACAATTTTCTTTGGATGGATCGAGGAATGAAATTTTCTCGATTCCTCGAGGTTCAAGGTCACCGAGCTATTCCGTCGCTGAACCAGGTATAATGTTCGTTCAGACGCGTCCCCCGGAGGTCTCGCCGCGGATGCTGGCCACAGTCACCGTCACCGCGAACGACCGATATTCATTTAACCCCGTCCGCAACCCCTTGTGGTGGCTCGTCAACCCCCGGCGCGACGCAAGGGAAACGAGAAACACGACCGGGGATTGGAGAGAAACTTTTCAGAGTGTAACGCCGTGTGCTGTTCCTCGTTCGCCGAATTTTTCTTCCTGCTGACTGGCGAATCAGGATTCCAGGTCACCGAGCCCGTACGCGGCGTGGGCGGACGTTCAACCCCACCCTCCAAAACACCCCCGCGGAAAAGTACTTTCGACGTTGTGACGGGGTAGGAACGATACGTACCCGGGCTGATTAAATTTCACAAAAGTCCCTTTGAACCCTATCGGATTCGACAAATGCACGGGGGATGAAGATAAATACACTTAACTAGTTTTGATACCTAAAAATAACCCTTTTAAATTATACGTAATTCTTCCTAGTAATCTGAAGCTAATAATTTTCTTCTAATGTTTGTGGAATAGGATTCATAAACCTTCAATTTTTCTCCTCAATATTGCCAAATATTGCTCATGAATTTATAAAAAAAACTTCACAACTCTTCGTTGTAGAAATGATTCTTTTAAACAGTATATTATTTTCCTAAATAGTCTGAAGCTAATAATTTTCTTCTAATGTTTGTGGAATAGGATTCATAAACCCTCAATTTTTCACCTCAATATTGCCAAATATTGCTCATGAATTTATAAAAATAACTTCACAACTCTTCGTTGTAGAAATGATTCTTTTAAACAGTATATTATTTTCCTAAATAGTCTGAAGCTAATAATTTTCTTCTAATGTTTGTGGAATAGGATTCATAAACCCTCAATTTTTCACCTCAATATTGCCAAATATTGCTCATGAATTTATAAAAATAACTTCACAACTCTTCGTTGTAGAAATGATTCTTTTAAACAGTATATTATTTTCCTAAATAGTCTGAAGCTAATAATTTTCTTCTAATGTTTGTGGAATAGGATTCATAAACCCTCAATTTTTCTCCTCAATATTGCCAAATATTGCTCATGAATTTATAAAAAAAACTTCACAACTCTTCGTTGTAGAAATGATTCTTTTAAACAGTATATTATTTTCCTAAATAGTCTGAAGCTAATAATTTTCTTCTAATGTTTGTGGAATAGGATTCATAAACCCTCAATTTTTCTCCTCAATATTGCCAAATATTGCTCATGAATTTATAAAAATAACTTCACAACTCTTCGTTGTAGAAATGATTCTTTTAAACAGTATATTATTTTCCTAAATAGTCTGAAGCTAATAATTTTCTTCTAATGTTTGTGGAATAGGATTCATAAACCCTCAATTTTTCTCCTCAATATTGCCAAATATTGCTCATGAATTTATAAAAAAAACTTCACAACTCTTCGTTGTAGAAATGATTCTTTTAAACAGTATATTATTTTCCTAAATAGTCTGAAGCTAATAATTTTCTTCTAATGTTTGTGTAATAGAGTAACCTTACTTCCCCCTCCCTCAAATTGCTTGCAAATTCATAAAAAAAAATTTCACAAATTTAAGAATTGACAACCCAATCACAAAATTTAAACCTGCTCATTCTGAAAATAATTACGCGTTGAAGATATGAAATAGTGTATAGCCTCCGGAGGAAGCATCGAGGAAAAATGAAACGTGGCGGATGGTCCAAGTAAGACACAGGACGATGAAACAAAGTTAAGAAAGAAGTAAAGATAAATTGGAGGAAAGAGCACGCGTAAAAGTAGAAACAATCGAACGCGGAAAAAGCGACGAGGGGGTTGGGATGATATCGAGGACGTAGTTTCGAAGGAATACCAAAAAAAGAAAAGTAAAAGGACGAGTTGGGGAGAGTATTTTAGGTCAGTCGAGGTGCACGTCGTGCCAGAAATTCGTACGTGCGAACAACAAATCCGCGAACCGGTCGTGCGAGACGTCGATTAATCCGACAAGTGTCGTTATGGAACGTAATCGATTCGATAACCGAGGGAAACGATCGATTGTCTCTCGGTTTTTGTTCCCTCGCGCTTTGTGACGTGCTGCTGTAGCGTTTACTACTCTTTCTACTCGCTGGTTTTTCGCGGAGATCTCTGAATAATTACTACGAAATTAATATCTCGTTCTTATTTTCATCGCGGATAAAAATCGAGGAAATTCACATTAATGAAAAAATCGAGACGTTTCCCGAGTTTAATTGGGCGCTAATTTTGATCGAAAGTCGTTCATTTGTGATGGAAAATCCCTCGATCGATCGTAGGAAAAATATTTCTGATTTTTATGAAATCTATGGTACAGTTTTTAAAAAATATTTGACACGTATCTTTCGCATCGACTTACTCCTTGTTTTATAAATAATTCTCGTTGAGAAAGTATTAAATGTGGATTTAACGCGTCTGACCATATCGAGTTATTACTACTTGCTTTGGGGCTGACCATATCTAGTTATTTCTACTTACGGAAGCATTTACGGTGGTATTATTTATTTTAACTGACTGTAACTAGTCAGAGACTATAAAAATCGAGGAAATTCACATTAATGAAAAAATCGAGACGTTTCCCAGGTTTAATTGGACGCTAATTTCGATCGAAAGTCGTGCATTTGTGATGGAAAATCCCTCGATCGATCGTAGGAAAAATATTTCTGATTTTTATGAAATTTATGGTACAGTTTTTAAAAAATATTTGACACGTATCTTTTGCATCGACTTACTCCTTATTTTATAAATAATTGACGTTGAGAAAGTATTAAATGTGGATTTAACGCGTCTGATCATATCGAGTTATTACTACTTGCTTTGGGGCTGACCATATCTAGTTATTTCTACTTATGGAAGCATTTACGGTGGTATTATTTATTTTAACTGACTGTAACTACTCAGAGACTGGCAAAATCATATTTAACAAATATTTAGGGCTCCCACAATTTATAAATATATAAATTTAAAAACGTTATAATTACTACAAAGAGATATATTTAAAAAATATTTTGATCAAGGACTTTCCCTTTTGCCAATGGAACTTTCACCCCAAACATAGATTTTTATTTTGTTATTATCAATTTATCGCCGTTTGTTCGAATTGTAACGTTTAATCGAGAGGGGGAAACGTTTAACGAAAATATGTGTTCCCCGGTTGTTTGGAAAACTAGATTCGATGGTGAAAAATGAATAAATATTAGTCTACGAAATATTGAATTTTCGTCAGCTGTTCCGCTCGATGGTCCACAGGTAACGCATTTTTGTATTTCTGTCCCGGCGTACGGTCAATTCGACCAGAAAACGTTACAAAGAGGGATTTCGAATCAGCGCCAAAAATGAGACCATCGTACGCGAAGGACTTCCGCGCGAATAACCGATCCGCGAATAAAACACTGCGGAACGTTAATTAAACGCGCGTTCAACGGCTCGATATTAAAAATAGAAAAATAACTATTTACCTGAGTACAGCCATTTAGTCGTTGGAGCATTCCTACGTTTTACAAAAATTTCCACAAAAATATCATTCTTATATTGTATTTAAAAATAATTAAAAAGTTGTACAATGCGTTAGTTTCGTTCATCTTCGATCTTTGACCGTGTTCCACGGTGTTAAAATCGGTCCAGCGTCACCCGAATGATTCAAGGCGGTCGTTCGAACGACAACGAACGAAACTCGTAGCAGATTCACGGATTAATCTCTCGTTGATCGAGCAACGCCCACGGAGTTACATCGACGGTTACGGTAGGCAGCTAACGTGGTTGAATGGTTCCCCCACCCAGTTTGGTGATCCGGAAGCGATTCGGGTCAGTGATCGCGCGAATAGCCCAAGCAATTGCTCCAAAATCGGTCCATGGTGTGGTAAAGGTGAGGAGAGACCCCGGTCAGGCCGTGAGCCTCGTCCGTGTAGGTCTGCAACTCGAACACGATGACCTTTTGCACGAGAGCCTTGTTCAGGGCCAGGGACTGCTGGTAGTGCACGTTGTCGTCCCCGGTGCCGTGTATCAACAGGAACTTTTTGCCACGGATACCCTCCACCTTTCTGTTAACGTCCGTGCCGTTGTAGCCCCTCAGATTATCCTCGAGCGTCGGGAGGCCCATGTAACGCTCCGTGTAGATGGAGTCTGCGATCGATCGCGGGCGAAATTTGTAAAAAAAAATGCTCCAACTTTGCTCTAGAGCGCTCTAAACCACGCATATATATTTGCAATGCGATTAAAAATGTACGAACTTCGAGAAGCGGGGTTGAGTTGCTAGAAGTTTTTAAAAGTGCTCTAAATTTAATCTAGCGTATTCTAGAGCAACGATCTATTTGCAATGCCCTTAAAATACTACTTAAAAATTTTTGTCCTCAAAAGTTTCCCTATTAGACACACCTTCGAGAAGCAGGGTTGAGTTGCTAGAAATATTAGAAGGTTCCCTAAATTTACTCTAGAGCGCTCTAAACCACCCATATATTTGCAACACGATTAAAAATGTAGGAACACCTTCGAGAAGCGGGGCTGAGTTGCTAGAAGCTTTTAAAAATGCTCTAAATTTAATCTAGAGTATTCTAGAGCAACGATCTATTTGCAATACCCTTAAAATACTACTTAAAAATTTTTGTCCTCAAAAGTTTACCTATTAGACACACCTTCGAGAAGCAGGGTTGAGTTGCTAGAAATATTAGAAGGTTCCCTAAATTTACTCTAGAGCGCTCTAAACCACCCATATATTTGCAACACGATTAAAAATGTAGGAACACCTTCGAGAAGCGGGGCTGAGTTGCTAGAAGCTTTTAAAAATGCTCTAAATTTAATCTAGAGTATTCTAGAGCAACGATCTATTTGCAATGCCCTTAAAATACTACTTAAAAATTTTTGTCCTCAAAAGTTTACCTATTAGACACACCTTCGAGAAGCAGGGTTGAGTTGCTAGAAATATTAGAAGGTTCCCTAAATTTACTCTAGAGCGCTCTAAACCACCCATATATTTGCAACACGATTAAAAATGTAGGAACACCTTCGAGAAGCGGGGCTGAGTTGCTAGAAGTTTTTAAAAATGCTCTAAATTTAATCTAGAGTATTCTAGAGCAACGATCTATTTGCAATGCCCTTAGAATACTACTTAAAAATTTTTGTCCTCAAAAGTTTCCCTATTAGACACCTTCGAGAAGCAGGATTGAGTTGCTAGAAATATTAGAAGGTTCCCTAAATTTACTCTAGAGCGCTCTAAACCACCCATATATTTGCAACACGATTAAAAATGTAGGAACACCTTCGAGAAGCGGGGCTGAGTTGCTAGAAGCTTTTAAAAATGCTCTAAATTTAATCTAGAGTATTCTAGAGCAACGATCTATTTGCAATGCCCTTAAAATACTACTTAAAAATTTTTATCCTCAAAAGTTTACCTATTAGACACACCTTCGAGAAGCAGGGTTGAGTTGCTAGAAATATTAGAAGGTTCCCTAAATTTACTCTAGAGCGCTCTAAACCACCCATATATTTGCAACACGATTAAAAATGTAGGAACACCTTCGAGAAGCGGGGCTGAGTTGCTAGAAGTTTTTAAAAATGCTCTAAATTTAATCTAGAGTATTCTAGAGCAACGATCTATTTGCAATGCCCTTAAAATACTACTTAAAAATTTTTGTCCTCAAAAGTTTCCCTATTAGACACCTTCGAGAAGCAGGATTGAGTTGCTAGAAATATTAGAAGGTGCTCTAAATTTAATCTAGAGTATTCTAGAGCCACGATCTACTTGCAATACCCTTAACATACTACTTAAAAATTTGTATCCTGAAAAATTTCTCTATTAGGCACCGAGAAACACAGTAGAATTGCTAGAAATTTTTTAAAAGTGCTCTAAATTTAATCTAGAGTATTCTAGAGCCACACTCTACTTGCAATACGCTTAAAATACTACTTAAAAATTTGTATCTTCAAAAATTTCCCTATTAGACACCATCGAAAAGCAGGATTGATTTACTAGAAATATTGGAAGGTGCTCTAAATTTACTCTAGGACGTTCTAGAGCTCCGATCTATTTGCAATACCTTCGAAAATTCTTAAAAAATTTATGTCCTCAAAAGTTTCCCTATTAGACAGCTACGAGAAACAGTATTTACTTGTTCGAACTTTTAAAAAGTTCTCGAAATTGATTCTAGGACACTCTAGAGCTCCGATCTATTTGCAATACCTTTGAAAATTCTTAAAAAATTGGTGTCTTCGAAAGTTACCCTATTAGACACCTTCGAGAAACTGAACTGACTTGCTAGAAGTTTTTAAAACAGAAGTTCTGCTCTAAATTGGCTCTAGAGTACCAATCTATTTGCAATACCCTTAAAATACTACTTAAAAATTTGTATCCTCAAAAGTTTCCCTATTAGACACCTTCGAGAAGCAAGATTGACTTACTAGAAATATTAGAAGATGCTCTAAATTTACTCTAGGACGCTTTAAAGCCCCGATCTATTTGTAGTACCTTTGAAAATTCTTAAAAAATGTATCTTCGAAAGTTTCCCTATTAGACACCTTCGAGAAGTAGGATTGACTTACTAGAAATATTATAAGGTGCTCTACATTTAATCTAGAGTATTCTAGAGCAATGATCTACCTCCAATACCCTTAAAATACTCCTAAAAAATTTGTATCCTCAAAAGTTTCCCTATTAAACACCTTCGAAAAGCAAGATTGACTTACTAGAAACATTATAAGGTGCTCTAAATTTACTCTAGAGCACTCTAGAGCCCCGATCTACTTGCAATCCCCTTAAAATACTCCTAAAAAATTCGCATCCCCAAAAGTTCCCCTATCAGACACTTTCGTGAACCAGAGTCAAGTAGCAAAGCAGAGTGGGGGGGGCAAATGCTTGACGACCTTGAGCGGTCAAACGATTTCACTGGGATCGTAACGAACCCCGACCGGTAAGCCGGTGCAAGTTATACATCGTACAGGAACTTAGACAAGCGACATCGTCGAGTGAAAATTATACCATAATAAATGACCGTAATTATCGCGCCCTGCTAGGTATGATACAAGAAAATTACCATAATAAATCCAGGATGAAACAGGTGCGACCGATATACCGCACTTGAAAACTGAATCCTTGTCGGTGGCCAGTGTCATGGCCGTCGCGAAACCGCCATAGCTCCATCCCCATATCGCGGTTCTGTTTCCATCGATCCAAGCGTACGTGTCTTGGAGCGCCCTGTGTATCGATAAACGATCGTCTAAGAAAATTACACTGGAAAAACATTGCAACAGGGAAGAATGACGGATCGGTGGAAGGCTCGTGGGATCAGATCTGTGGCGTCGCCTCCCATGCTCGCCACCAGAGGGGTCGCGCTCTCACAAGCGCTCTCACGACTTCCCAATATCCCAGTCGTCTAAGGCAGGGCCTGCTAGAAAGCCTTACTGACGAGTCCACTGGCGCCCCCTCCTTTCCTTTTCTGTCCTCCTACGAATTCTCACGAGATCCCCTACCCACAGCGAAGCAGCGCCACAATCCATACCCCAAAACACGAAAAAAAGAAATTGAAAACTATTTTCAACGCGTTCACTGTCCAGTCTCCCAGCGGCGTATCCAATAGCGTGGCGGTATGACCCATATACGGGTCATAGACAGTGTATGCTTTGGAAAAATAATTAAATCCGACAAACAAATTATCCATGTCCCAAAACTCAAGAAAAAGAAATTGAAAACTATTTTCAACGCGTTCACTGTCCGGTCTCCCAGCGGCGTATCCAATAGCGTGGCGGTATGACCCATATACGGGTCATAGACAGTGTATGCTTTGGAAAAATAATTAAATCCGACAAACAAATTATCCATGTCCCAAAACTCAAGAAAAAGAAATTGAAAACTATTTTCAACGCGTTCACTGTCCGGTCTCCCAGCGGCGTATCCAATAGCGTGGCGATGCGACGAAGCAACGCCACAGATCTGTTCTCGATGCATTGCTCCGAAGCTCTCTGCGTGTCTCCTCTGGTTTCTAAGCGAACCATAGACGCAGAAACCTCAAAAAAACACAGAAATGAGAAATCGTTACCGCGTGACGGCTATTTGGTCCTCGATCTCCACGGTGCCCATGCGTCGATAGATCTCGAAAAGCATCTTGCTACCCTTATAGGCGGACCCACGGCCATCGATGTGGCCGTAAATTACGCTCCTGTTGGTCGTCATGTACGACTCGAAACCGTGCGTGTTCGCCTCGGTGATCCTCACAGTGTTCGGACCAGCGTATCTAAAAAAAGACTCGAAAATTTTCACACGGGATTCGATCTTCGAAACATTTAAATACCCGTTACATGGACCGTTTATTTTGAAAGTGGTGCAGGTCCATTTTCTCTTGTTTTGTTAAAAAATTTAGGCAACTTGTATGAAATCTGGCAATGTTTCTACTATTTTATCAATATGCAATTTGGTTATATGTTTTAGGCGTATTATATTAAACTGATATACATATACTTACGGGCTGCAAATGGACTTACACCACTTTCATAATCGATGATCATGCAATTTCATTTACCGACTAATTTTAAATTGTACAAAACAAGGGAATTTTTTGATATCTCATTTTTTTTTTTCAAAAATGGAGTTACACCACTTTCAAAATAAACGGTCCACATCTCGAGCGTAAATAGAAACGAAACTCGAGTTAAATAGAGATGCTTGAGGAGTCGTTAAACTGCAGAATAATCGGGGATGTGCTTGAAACGTGGCCGCGTAACCCAATCGTCCCGATGAGAAAGAAAACGCTCGAACGAGAGGCAAAGAAAAGGGGATCGATGGTGGATCGTTCGGGCAGGAAACGGGCCCGAAGGTTCTAATTTTAAATGGAGATCGCGATTCTCTTTGCGAGCTGATCAATCACGCTATACGTCAGCCTAATGGCACCGCGGCCGTTATTAAGTGTCTGCTGCTAGCCGAGACCCTGGCAGCTTGAATGCGAGCCTCGGGATTAAGTGAAGGCTTTGAGGGACTGCGCGGTTTCCGCGTGCTTCTAACATCCCCAGCCACAAATTTTACACTCAAATTGCTCGACGAAGTCCAGGAAACTGGCAAAAAAGGACCGCGAGTAAAGGATAATTTATTTATTCGTTGAAACAAAAAGTGTACGGGAGAGAATTGTATCGTTCGTGAAATTTACTATAATGTTTTTGGCTCCCCAAATAATTTTGCACGCCATGCTAGTGTCTCATTCATGGAAAATGAGACCTGACTGGAATGTGGCGAGAAACACTAACGCTACGCTTGGATATAGGCCTTTGGGGACATTTGCATTGATTATGGTTCAATATCGAGTTGTGGAGAAGCTAATAACCTAATTAGGCTCGAAACTGTTGCAGTAAAAAACAAAAAGTGTACGGGAAGAGAATTGTATCGTTCGTGAAATTTACTATAATGTTTTTGGCTCCCCAAATAATTTTGCACGCCATGCTAGTGTCTCATTCATGGAAAATGAGACCTGACTGGAATGTGGCGAGAAACACTAGCGCTACGCTTGGATATAGGCCTTTGGGGTCATTTGCATTGATTATGGTTCAATATCGAGTTGTGGAGAAGCTAATAACCTAATTAGGCTCGAAACTGTTGCAGTAAAAAACAAAAAGTGTACGGGAAGAGAATTGTATCGTTCGTGAAATTTACTATAATGTTTTTGGCTCCCCAAATAATTTTGCACGCCATGCTAGTGTCTCATTCATGGAAAATGAGACCCGACTGGAATGTGGCGAGAAACACTAGCGCTACGCTTCGATATAGGCCTTTGAGGACATTTGCATTGATTATGGTTCAATATCGAGTTGTGGAGAAGCTTATAACCTAATTAGGCTCGAAACTGTTGCAGTAAAAAACAAAAAGTGTACGGGAGAGAATTGTATCGTTCGTGAAATTTACTATAATGTTTTTGGCTCCCCAAATAATTTTGCACGCCATGCTAGTGTCTCATTCATGGAAAATGAGACCCGACTGGAATGTGGCGAGAAACACTAGCGCTACGCTTCGATATAGGCCTTTGAGGACATTTGCATTGATTATGGTTCAATATCGAGTTGTGGAGAAGCTTATAACCTAATTAGGCTCGAAACTGTTGCAGTAAAAAGCCTCTCTATCCTACAATGTACGGCGTCTGGGTTTGTCGCAGGCCAAGCGTACCTGGACAAAAATTGACTGTCGCTTTTGTTTTTTGTTTGAAGGCTGAAGTTTTTCCGCAGTTTGAAGCAAAGAGTCGGCGAGGACAGGACACGTAAAGTCCTGGGATATTTTTTTCCTTGTACACTCAAATACATCAAATATATGTAAGTTCTTTTTCGGAAAACTGTGCCTTTTATTAAACGAAGAACACCCTCAACAGAAACAACCACTTTTTTGGAAGACCAACTCCGAGGACTCTTCTCTAGGTATTATAAATTAGATCATGGAGTCAAACTTTTAATCAGGGTAAGTCTCTTATTCTTTTGAACGAATTTGGGTCTTTTTCTTTGGAGCAGTGTAGTGGTAGTACTTACACGTTGATCAGCAGAGGGTAGGACTTTCTGTCGTCGAAGTCGTGCGGCAAATACAATCTCACGTTGCAGTCGTACCCGTTCACCCTGATTTGGAGATTTTTGATAAGTGGTTGCATACGAGTGGCCAGTTTCTGCCTCAGAGATCGATTCCTCTCCCAAGTGTACAGCAATCGGTGACTCGCCGTGTCGAAGATCATCACGGTCGATGGGTCTGGCCCCGCGCAGTTCAACGTGTAATGCGAACTGTCGTCGGAAAAGTACGCGTAGACGAAGCTGCAAGTGTGTCCTGCGACAAATCACACCCAAAAAACGATGAATAATTATGTCTCATCGTTCGGTTTACGATTTTATACGAATATCGTATTGAGAGGTGTTTATTGGAGTGAAAGATTACGAGGCAGTGGAAATGACACCTGTGGCAGGTGGAAAGGAAACGAAAGGATAGACATACCCTTGAATTCCTACGCATTTTCGATAAAAAAGTTCAATAATTGGACAGATTTTTCGGCGAAATTAAAAAATTTCAAATCGTCTTAGAAAAATTATTTTTAGTTGTGGGGGTCAATTATAATCATTTTTGGTGAATAGACAAACCCTCGAAATTCTACCCACTTTTGAGAAAAAAATTCACAAAGTAGACAAATTTTTCGGCGAAATTAAAAAATGTCAAATCCCTATAAAAAAATTATTTTTAACTGCAGGGGTCAATTACAATCATATTTTGTGAATAGACATAACCTCGAATTCCTACCCACTTTTGAGAAAAAAATTCACAAAGTGGACAAATTTTTTGACGAAATTAAAAATTGTCAAATCATTTTAAAAAAATTATTTTTAGTTGCAGGGGTCAATTATAATCATATTTAGTGAATAGACATACCCTCGAATTCCTACGCACTTTCAAGAAAAAAATTCACAAAGTGGACAAATTTTTCGGTGAAATTAAAAATTGTCAAATCATTCTAAAAAAATTATTTTTAGTTGCAGGGATCAATTATAATCAATTTTGGTGAATATACATACCCTCGAAATCCTACGCACTTTCGAGAAAAAAATTCTTTACCGAAAATATAATGTCCTACCAAAAATGTTTATTTCTGAAACACTATTTCTCAGCAATTTATGTTGAAATTATGACGTAACGATATTTCCACATTTTAATGTGACCATAATGTCAGCTTGATAAGTTTCAATAGACACACATGCCAGTCAGTGACCATAAATAAGTTGATATCTGACCTTCTGGCGTGGGTACGTTGCAGGAGACGCATTCTGGTTCTCGACTGCCGTCCAAAGGCACCGAGTAAAGGTTCCTGTGCGTCGGTTTGCCAACCCCAGTCCCCACATAGTACAATATCCCCCTCTGTTTGTTCACGGCCGCGATATACATTACTTCGGCCGCGACCGGGGTCAGATCCCTCTTCGAAAGAAGCCTCCCATCGGTGTCGTACTTGAATCTGATCGCGTGGACGAATCGTCCAGCGTCCGTGCCGGAGTCCTCGAGCTGCAGAACAATGGCGTATCGATTGGAGAACACGGATGGTAGGATACGCAACCATCCTGAGAGTTCCTCCTGGTACATGTGATCCAGAACCTCCGTCTCCACGTCGTTGAACGCTATTTCTCCGGTGCTGTAATACACGGTCTGAGCCTTGGTCTGCACCCTGTTCGTCCAGGTAGCTGCCACGTACTCGTTGTCCCCCCAGCTCACCGTATAGAGAATATTATCCCTGATAAACAGTAAATTTACCACTACTTTCAAAATTTATTCTATCCAAAAGCACCCTCGAATTACTTTGTAATCGAAATATGACGTGAGCTTCAAGGGCACCAAAGGGATACCAAAGTCCCTCGTGAAGAGAGTAATTTCTACAAAATTTTAATCCAATTCACGAGCATTGTTTGCTCTTGAGAGGTATTGTACAAGCATCAAACGATAAGCAGTTGTATCAATAGTAATTAATCGTTTCAGCAGATAAGATATCCAACGAAGGAAATTAAGTCGTACGAAGTTATTAACTAACAACTGTCCGTTCAAAGTTACGCTAATGCGCCGCGTCAGTCACGGCGACAGAGCTTCAGGATTACGGGGGATACTTACACGCCGACGACGTTAACGGGAGGCTCGAGTTTACGCGATTCGACGGACGAATTAATCAAACTAGCGACGGTTAGAGACACGATTGGATTTGGACTGCCAGCCTGCAAGGAGACGATAATAAATTAAAACACATTGTCGAAACAACGTCTTATTCCTGTTAAAATTCATCCTCGAGAAACATCTGTTCTGATGGTACCTCGATGGGAAATAATTTTGCTCTTTGATTTTCAAACAAGGAAACAGAAGCTTGAGATGAGGAGGAACGTTTTCGTTGATTCGTTAAGCTCACCTTGGGATATTTGATTTTCACTTCCGTGGGGTATTGATTCTTCATGCTGCCTGGTGTTCCATAGTACAGCATCACGACATCTTTCACTTCGGTGTCGTTGTAGGACGCGAAAGCTAGGTAATCTCCATTGGGAGAGAACCAGAGAGCGACAGCGGAGTCTAGGACTTCCTCTGCGAATATTGGTACACCGATTCTCTCGATCATTAAACTAACCTACGACAATATTACGCTCCTTTCGCGTACTAATGGCGCACTGCTCTCAGTCGAAGGTTGTTACAATTTGCCAGGAGAAATGTTTCTACTCGCCACTTAATGCGTTAAAGGGATGATCGAGATATCCAATACACCATAATTCGAAATAGATAAAAAGAACAAAAGGGTAATTTCTTCAACGTAAATAGATAAACAAATAAAAGAATTTCTTTCACGTTAGCTTGTTCCACCGACTGTGTCGAAATGAAAATTGTCGATAATTATTTTATAAATCCATACAAATTTGTTCTCTCACCTTCGTAGACCCAATCGGGCACGCCATTGTAAATAACACCTGGAACCCCCGTGTGCGTCAACCTTCGAACCTTGCTGCCAGTTTCGGAGAACGTTTGATAATAAATGTCGTTTTGCAGAACGTAGACCACAGCGTTTCTGGTGGGCGACCATGAGCCCAATGCCAAACGTTCGCCATCAGCGAGGGTTATATATTGTCTAGGCAAAAAAGAGTATGAATTATCACGATGTTTGGTAGTTCTGCTCGTCTTAGGGCCACTCACTTGCTTTTCACGTTGTAAACGTCGAACTTCTGGAACGTCGAGTACCTGAATCCCTGGGAATCGATAAAAACAGTTCCTTGAAACATCGAATCGATCGAGAAGCAATGGGACGAAATAATTCAGAATATTTTCGACTCACGTTGACGAAGTCGTAGCCAATCAGAACGTACGACCTGTCGAAGGAGATGCTCAACGAAGGCTTGTCGTACGGGCTCTGAAAAATTATTTAAAAAACAAACGTTCGTCGGTTTGGCCAGATTATTCTTCGATTATTCATCAAAGGAAGTGATAAATAGTATTTTCGATATTTTTTTATTATGTTTTCAAGTTGGTGTTCCAGGGTTAATAAGAAGTGAATTCTCAGGACAAGGGGGTCTGATTCTGTAAGAAATAGTGGATGCATGTGCGTGTGTGTGTCCGGAGAGAACGGAAATGTCCGAAGGCGGTCGAGAGGAGCCGAGCAGAGAAATGACGAGCGGGAAAAACAGAAGAACGGAAAAAGGATTGAAAGGGAAGCGTGCACGCGTGGAGAGAAGGATATATTCGATAAGTGATTAATAAAGATATTAGGAATGCGTTGGTATTTTATATGATGCGCGTCGTTTTATTAACCATCCCGGTCCAAGAATTACAATTCGATAACAAGATTACGGAGTAAGATCGAGCTACCATAGTCGAACGGTAGAATCAATATTTGGATGGTCTGAAATATTGATACGATTGATTTCGTGTTCATCGGTGGCGTTACGACGCGATAAATCATTCCGTTGTCTGCGTCGACCGATAACGTGGCATTGGGTTGTTGATACCATCGATCAAGGGTCGATTGCCACGCTACGTATATCCAACGAAATTAATTTACGATCGAAACACGTATCTTCGAATAGAAATTTTTTCCTGGACAACGAAACCACGTTTCAATTGTCGCTTATGCGACTGGACGCGTTGGCCAAACGTTGTTGAACAAGATGCAAATGATTTCGAAGTTGGGGAAAATTCAACGTAGAAACGTCAAATAACGCGTCTCTTGAATCAATAATGGGTTTGTTGATTCACGGCCGAAAGTGGACGCTGTAATTCGCTGACGAGGATCCGAACCGTACGAAGAATTTCCGTGCGATTAATTAAACACGGTTTTGTTATTTGTTGCGCGGCCGTTATCGAGGGAAGGGAATTCGATTCTAAATTCCGCTGGAATTGACAGCGAAAGACGAATAAAACGAAATTCAATTGGGAAATTTGGCAACTTTCGAAAAGATTATATTTTCCTAAGGTTTTAGATCTCATCGATATCTGATTACCTGAATTCGAACAATAATGAAATTTGTCGGATCGACTTATTTTCCGAGCGTTCGTAAATCTTGTTTGTTTGACACACTTTACGATTTTCAACAATTCAAGTTTCTTAAATTAATATCCGGCGGCGTAATCCTTTGAATCTTACTCGAAACCTCCACGGCGTGGGCCAACTTCACGAAAGCTCAATGCACAAAGGAATTGAAAGACCCCGCTGAAGCCTGTTACTCGACTAATTAGGCAGGACTTCGGGAAGTTCTAATAATCCAAGTGTTATCCACGTTTCGTGATTACTTACACCTAATAGCAAACTAATATTTAAGGGGCTAATTCTATTTTATTAGTAAAATAATAATTGTAGAGAACTGAAACAGTTCTCCAAGTCGAAATGTTGAGGGAAATAAATTTTAATAGAATTCGTAAATTTTAACGAGTTTCTAAAAATAAATATCAAGACATATTTCAAAGTCGAAATGTTGAGGGAAATAAATTTTAATAGAATTCGTAAATTTTAGCGAGCTTCTGAAAATAAATATCAAGAGAAATTTCAAAATCAAAGTTGAATTCGTTTGATTTCGTGAAATACAGGTTTAGTCTGGCTAAATAAATATAAAACTATCTTATGGTGACTGAAACGCTCTGTGACGAGACTTGACACTTAGAATTTGCGCGCTCGCCGCCAGAGGGCTACGCTCTCGTCTCTCTCGCAAGTGTTCGAGCGACCTTCTATCAACATCCCAGCGCCTAAGAGAGGAACTTACCTATCAAATCTTTTCATCGAATGAACAGTGTGTAAAGTTATAATTAATCAAAATTTGGTAAGATGAGACAAAGTCTGAGCCCCTAATTGCCAGTTAGTTAGTTATTTTGTTTACAGTTAATTAGTTAGTTTACAGCAAATTAGTCAGTTTGTCAGTTAGTTAGTTACTTTGCAGTTAGTTAGTTGGTTTGAATTTAGTTAGTTAGTTTGTCAGTTAGTTAGTTAGTTTGACAGTTGGTTTGTTAGTATGCAGTTAGTTTGTTAGTTTTGTCAAGTTAGTTAGTTAGATTTTCTGTTAGTTAGTTAGTTTGTCAGTTAGTTAGTTGCTTTGTCAGTTAGTTAGTTCGTTTGCAGTAAATTAGTTAGTTTGTCAGTTAGTTAGTCTGTAAGTTAGTTAGTTACTTTGCAGTTAGTTAGTTAGTTTGACAGTTGGTTTGTTAGTATGCAGTTAGTTTGTTAGTTTTGTCAAGTTAGTTAGTTAGATTTTCTGTTAGTTAGTTAGTTTGTCAGTTAGTTAGTTGCTTTGTCAGTTAGTTAGTTCGTTTGCAGTAAATTAGTTAGTTTGTCAGTTAGTTAGTCTGTAAGTTAGTTAGTTAGTTTGCAGTTAGTTAGTTAGTTTGACAGTTAGTTAGTTAGTATGCAGTTAGTTAGTTAGTTTGTCAGTTAGTTAGTTAGTGTTTTTTCGAGTGTTAGAAGAGCAGAAACGTAAATTTAAATTTACTAGCATGTTACCAATATGGACGAGTCGAGGAAGATCGAACTGGTCCCCGACGTAGCATCGAATATACGAATGTCACCGGTGTGGTCATCGTTATAAAGTATCTCCGTGTTAGATATCCAGCTACCGTTGAAGCCGGTCGCACGAAAACTCTGGTCGTAGGTCTCCTCGAGAGTGAATGGAACGGTGTTTCCGTTTAGATCGCTCTCTTCGACAGCCTCGTGTCCGTTCGACATCCGCGAAACTGGGGAAAAACGTGAATTTTCGTGAGAGCATCCGAGACAGATGGAACGAGAGACAAATTGGGGGAGAAGGAACCCGAAGAAAGGAGACAAGTTAGGGGAAATAGGAAAAAGAAGATCTCTCATATTCTCTGGAATTTAAAATATAAAAATAGTAAATGAAAGGAACTGTGCAAACTGGTGATAATCTTCCCAGCTACGTCACTAATTTCCATAAAACGTGAGTAACTCTAACGAGAAAAACAAACGCGTTCGAAACGTTTGGTCTCAGCTTTTTCCAGCAACAAACGAGTTTCCTTGCGACACCAAACAAGGCGAACGCGGAAGATCCGTTATCTTCTAGGTTGCGTGCTACAGGGTGTCTCAAATCGCACGATACCAGAAAAGTATTCTCTTTGTAGAGAAAATCTAGGTATTTGGTAATAATCTCCGAAATTATCGAGATATACTTTCAACCCGTATTCTCGAGCACAATCGCCGGGGCTCCCATCGATAAAAGGTGGCAACCATCGACGCGTTATCGATCGATAAACGATAATCCGAGTTAACCCCGGGCATAAGTGAACTTATCTCGCGACAAACAGCGGAATCGTCGTGGAGCATCAGCCTTGCTACGATCCGAAGACGTTCAACTGTTCCGGAGACGTCCGGGCCCCGTAAGCCGGCTTAAGAAAATCGCGATTATCTCCGGCGGAGAGAGAAAGAGATACTCACTGGATTTCCCGGCGACAAGGACGGCCAGGGATACCTGCAGCACCAGCAGTCGCAATACCTGAAAAAGATTTTGAAATACAATCTGTAAAAAAGGAATCATCCGTCGTGTCTGAGATTCCACGTCCACGATCGAAACGCTCGTTTCAACGCTGGAACTATCAGAATTGGTCAAAATGACCCATTCCTAATGAATTTTTTACTTCCATTATATTATACATTTCTTTAAATTCATAGAATTAAATATTTCTAATTTTTAATTAATTTTTAATTGAAATATTTTCATTCACGATCGAAACGCTCGTTTCAACGCTGGAACTATCAGAATTGGTCAAAATGACCCATTCCTAATGAATTTTTTATTTCCATTATATTATACATTTCTTTAAATTCATGGAATTAAATATTTTTAATTTTTAATTCATTTTTAATTTAAATATTTTAATTCACGATTGAAACACTCGTTTCAACGCTGGAACAATCAGAATTGGTCAAAATGACCCATTCCTAATGAATTTTTTACTTCCATTATATTATACATTTCTTTAAATTCATAGAATTAAATATTTCTAATTTTTAATTACTTTTTAATTGAAATATTTTCATTCACGATCGAAACGCTCATTGCAACGCTGGAACAATCAGAATTGGTCAAAATGACCCATTCCTAATGAATTTTTTACTTCCATTATATTATACATTTCTTTAAATTCATAGAATTAAATATTTTTAATTTTTGATTAATTTTTAATTTAAATATTTTCATAGAATAAATATAGAAAATAAATTTATTGCTTTAGATTGCTTCGTAGGAAATAATTTGTTTTTGTGACGAGGTTAAAATGGCGAAAGAAAAATGTGCTTCCAGGATCGTTACATTTCTTTAAATTCATAGAATTAAATATTTCCTTCGTAGAAAATTTTCTCGAAATTAAATATTTTCGCACCACAATATTTAATCGAAAATAAATTTATTGCTTTAGATTGCTTCGTAGGAAATAATTTGTTTTTTCTGACGGGGTTAAAATGGAAAGAAAAATGTGCTTCCAGGATCGTTAAGCATCGTGATCGATGTATTAGGGAAACTAGATGTTTAAGTTATCCACATTTTCCCGCGTGAAGGATTATCCTTTCGCGGGCTCCTTGGATTGCATTACGCTACCTCCAGGGATCGCGGCCCTGCTTTGGAAAACATTGCTTTACTCTGTACAGGACGTATACAGAGTGGTGAAAAACTTGGTGTCATAAATCTGGGCGATGAAAGACGCGATTTTTGAGTAAAAGAACCCAGAGTAAGCGAACGACGAGCGTTTAATTGAATCGTCTCAGCGTTTGCAGTTCCGCGATGGCTGCCAGGCGATTTACTCCCCAAAAAATACGATCGATAAGATCGATAACGATTCGATCTTCTTGCCTCCTATCCTTCTTTTGTTTACCACGTTTTAATTCTCCATTCGTATGCAAAGAATCTCAAACTTGACCAAGGTTTTCACCCTCGACGATTACGCGCGAGATTTGAAACCGTATTTTTACCGTCCCAGACAGTCGTGAAACTTTCGTCCGGTCTCGTAAATAGAAGACTGTTTCGCTTTACGAGTGATCGACAAGAGAAGTTTTCCAGCTACAATGGAAAGTTTGAGAAGTTCTCTATTTGGGTTTGAATCTTTTAAATGGCGCCCGGACGGATTGTACAAGACTTATCAAATTTTTCGACAGAGAAATCTCCCGAATGATTCACGCTTACAAGGTTTTCGACTGATCGAAACTTTCGAATCGCTCTACTGGGTTCACTGAGTTTATAAAATGGAGGCTCGTGTATATTTTAAATGCAACTGATAATTGTAAGAATGTTATCGTTGTATCGTACACGACAACGCTGTAAAAATTGGGAACAAATAAAAATGAGTTCCGAAGCGATATGGAGTTGACGATATTTCGAAAAGTTGTCGATCGTGTAACGTTAAAATTGTTGCACGATTTTATGGGAAATCGTGTGTTGTTTATACTTTGCTGTAACTTTGCCTCGTTTTAAGTGAAACGGTTATGGACGACAGTAACTGGGGAGGCGGCAATAAATGGGTTCTTTATACGCCTCGACTTCGCGATAGATCCAACGTACAAGAATTTAAATCATTTCGACGCCTCGATCCATATTTATAAGCATCCAAAATATGGGCTAAGTTAAAGGAAGAGTGCAAACGTGCACCATCCATGCAAACGATCGAAAGAGAATTGCATACTGCAAAAAAAAAGTGCTTTTGTCGAGTAAAAATTCTCCTGAAAAGAAAACGAGGAATACAGGTAAAACAAACTTAGATTATAAAAAAAAACATTATTCGAGTAGGTGTGATATTTTTCAACAATAAAAAAAATGTTAAATCATTCTAAAAAAATTATTTTTAGTTGCAGGGATCACTTATAAACATTTTTGGTGAATAGACATAGTCCCGAAATCCTAAGCACTTTCGAGAAAAAAATTCAATAAGTGGACAAATTTTTCGGCGAAATTAAAAAATTTCAAATCATTTTAAAAAAATTATTTTTAGTTGTGGGGGACAATTACAATAATTTTTGGTGAATAGACATACCCTCGAATTCCTAAGCACTTTCGAGAAAATAATTCAATAAGTGGACAAATTTTTCGGCGAAATTAAAAAATTTCAAATCGTTTTAAAAAAATTATTTTTAGTTGTGGGGGACAATTACAATAATTTTTGGTGAATAGACATACCCTCGAATTCCTAAGCACTTTCGAGAAAAAAATTCAATAAATGTACAAATTTTTCGGCGAAATTAAAAAATTTCAAATCGTTTTAAAAAAATTATTTTTAGTTGTGGGGGACAATTACAATAATTTTTGGTGAGTAGGCATACCCTCGAATTCGTACGCACTTTCGAGAAAAAAATTCAATAAGTGGACAAATTTTTCGGTGAAATTAAAAAATTTCAAATCGTTTTAAAAAAATTATTTTTAGTTGTGGGGGACAATTACAATAATTTTTGGTGAATAGACATACCCTCGAATTCCTAAGCACTTTCGAGAAAAAAATTCAATAAGTGTACAAATTTTTCGGTGAAATTAAAAAATTTCAAATCGTTTTAAAAAAATTATTTTTAGTTGTGGGGGACAATTACTATAATTTTTGGTGAATAGACATACCCTCGAAATCCCACCCACTTCCGAGAAAAAAATTCAATAAGTGGACCAATTTGTCGGCGTAAAAATTCTCCTGAAAAGAAAACGAGGAATACAGGTAAAACAAACTTAGATTATAAAAAGAAAAAAAACAGTATTCCGTAGTCGTTTAAAACTGGTTTGCCTCAAGTGTCAAGATAAAGAAGTAAAATAGGAGAAACTAAAATCGAGGAAAATTACATAATACAAACGAGACACGAAGAAAACATACGTAGACTTTTCCACGTGGAAGAAAACGAAGTTTACATAATTAAAATACAGAAGTAAACAAATTTTTCTTAAATACCATAATATTTAGTTTTCAAATTTATTTTATTAAAATTCAATCGTGATTTTCAAATTCAGTGGATATATTTCTCTAGTTTCGCAACGAAAGCATGAAATTCATCATTAATTCATAATTAAAATACAGAAATAAACAAATTTTTCTTAAATACCATAATATTTAGTTTTCAAATTTATTTTATTAAAATTCAATCGTGATTTTCAAATTCAGTGGATATATTTCTCTAGTTTCGCAACGAAAGCATGAAATTCATCATTAATTCATAATTAAAATACAGAAATAAACAAATTTTTCTTAAATACCATAATATTTAGTTTTCAAATTTATTTTACTCAAATTCAATCGCGATTTTCAAATTCAGTGGATATATTTCTCTAGTTTCGTGACGAAAGTATGAAATTCATCATTAATTCATAATTAAAATACAGAAGTAAACAAATTTTTCTTAAATACCATAATATTTAGTTTTCAAATTTATTTTATTAAAATTCAATCGTGATTTTCAAATTCAGTGGATATATTTCTCTAGTTTCGTGACGAAAGTATGAAATTTATCATTAATTCATAATTAAAATACAGAAGTAAACAAATGTTTCTTAAATACCATAATATTTAGTTTTCAAATTTATTTTAGTCAAATTCAATCGTGATTGTCAAATTTAGTGGATATATTTCTCTAGTTTCGTGACGAAAGTATGAAATTCATCATTAATTCATAATTAAAATACAGAAATAAACAAATTTTTCTTAAATACCATAATATTTAGTTTTCAAATTTATTTTATTCAAATTTAATCGTGATTGTCAAATTTAGTGGATATATTTCTCTAGTTTCGTGACGAAAGCATGAAATTCATCATTAATTCATAATTAAAATACAGAAATAAACAAATTTTTCTTAAATACCATAATATTTAGTTTTCAAATTTATTTTATTAAAATTCAATCGTGATTTTCAAATTCAGTGGATATATTTCTCTAGTTTCGTGACGAAAGTATGAAATTTATCATTAATTCATAATTAAAATACAGAAGTAAACAAATGTTTCTTAAATACCATAATATTTAGTTTTCAAATTTATTTTAATCAAATTCAGTCGTGATTTTCAAATTCAGTGGATATATTTCTCTAGTTTCGTGACGAAAGTGTGCAAATGAAAACGAAAGTATTGAAATTCATCGAGCTCCACTTAATTAACGAAGGCCAACCGACAGATTATGATAGCTGCTACGAGATTACGAAGTTTGTTCAAATTTTAATATCGTTTCGCTCGTTGAAAGACGACGATAAATACGTTTGGTTCCCAGCTAATTAAAGATAACGACTGTGATATATCTTTCTAGAGAAGTTTCGAAAAGTTCGCCTTATCCAATTCGACTAATTGGCGGAGGATACACGTTGCTCTAGAATTATAGCGATATTGGAACCGTTAGTACGTTCTGTACGCGTTGAAGGAAGACGACGAGATGTCTTTGTAACCTCGATTGTAGAAATTTGATTATGTGGGTCAAGTTGACGAGACAATTGAAAAAAAATCCTGATGGTTTATTGAAAAGTTTGGAAAATATGGAATGCGAAGGCCACGATAAAGGTCTTGCCGGGCAGTGCGGTGTTGTTCTATTGGAAAACTTTTATCGATATTCTGTATCGACAGCTCGAGCCTGCATATAATCATAAACGAAACGTATATCTGCACGTTATTCTTCCGGTTCCAAGCACTTCTGTCATTTTTAAGATCGTAAACCGTTATTTCGCTACGAAACTACAAAATTTATAGTCCTGTACAGCAAACTCAAAACAATAAATATACCTGGCCGTCAAACATCATTATTTTATTTTTATTCAGGTTAATTTTCTACATGCAAATCTAAGGTTAAGTTTCCATGACATTTTCTGCAACTTTTGCTATTTGTTTTTTTTTCTATGTTCAACTAACCCCTAATCCCTAAAAACTGATTTTTTTAAATTAATTTTCCGAGCTTACCGTGGGAGACATTTCTCGAAACGCTTCGTAAGTTGGTTTCGTCGAAGTTATTAGCGAAGAAAATGGCTCGAACAATTACGAGCGACCCTTCCGGATTCCAGGGTGGCTCGTTTCCCCTCGTATTTTCGCGATCCAGAGTTTTCCTCGAGGATCAGGGACGAGTGCATCGTCGACGATAAATCGAGAGACGGTCCGGGGGGCCTTCGAAACTTTTCCATCGTCGAAACGTAAAGGGCTCGGGGAAAGTTATCGAATCGATACGTCAAAGGAGACAAAACGGAACACCGCCGTGGGAGGAAAGTCGATCTCCCGGTGGAAAAAAGGTAAAATCCAGAAGATCGACGATTATCTACGACCTTGTTTCATTTTTAACGTCGTTGTTTCGCTTCCTCCTGTTATTTCCTCTTTTTTTTTTTACGTCCGTTATTGGGACACGCACGAACGCAGTAAACGCGATTTACGGGGCGACGAATTTACCAGCGAGGAGATAGAGAATTTGATTACCGCGAGGAAATTGTGGTTCGTTTAGTTAGGAAATTGCCCGTGGGATCGAACAGATTCGACGGGAACCCTAATCCCGTCGACGAAATTCTGGAAACATTCCGGCTCGTTGTAAGGGGACCATCTTTGTATACGTCGTGGTAAGAAAAATTGAAATTAGCGTATCTCTCGCTGAACCCCAACTTTGAGGGCTGATTTCAACCCCTTAAAGTGAATATTAGCAGCTACAAAAAAATACGTGTATAATAGATTCATGAGAACTACAAAATTGCAAAGTTTCATCAACATTGGAGATTTACACCTCGGGATGGTCCCTTGTAAGATCGAGAATATTAATTACTGTACGCTGTTTCGTGCAGGTTAAAAAATTTGATAATAATATTGGTCTGATTGGCAAAATAACCATCATTGAGTAGCTCATATTATATGTTAAACTATAATTATTCCTCAAGGTACAATAATATTCCACATTTCAAATATGACATGTGTATTATGATAATAATTTAGAGGGAACAATAATCATCATTGAGTAGCTCAAATTATATGTTAAACTATAATTATTCCTCTAGTTACAATAATATTCAACATCTCAAATATCACATGTGTATTATGATAGCAATTTAGAGGGAATAATAATCATAATTGAGTAGCTCATATTATGATAGCAATTTAGAGGGAATAATACTCATCATTGAGTAGCTCAAATTATATGTTAATTCCTCTAGTTGCAATAATATTCAACGTTTCAAATATCACATGTGTATTATGATAGTAATTTAGAGGGAATAATAATCATCCTTGAGTAGCTCAAATTATATGTTAATTCCTCTAGTTGCAATAATATTCAACATTTCAAATATCACATGTGTATTATGATAGTAATTTAGAGGGAACAATAATCATCATTGAGTAGCTCAAATTATATGTTAAACTATAATTATTCCTCTAGTTACAATAATATTCAACATCTCAAATATCACATGTGTATTATGATAGCAATTTAGAGGGAATAATAATCATAATTGAGTAGCTCATATTATGATAGTAATTTAGAGGGAATAATACTCATAATTGAGTAGCTCAAATTATATGTTAATTCCTCTAGTTGCAATAATATTCAACATTTCAAATATCACATGTGTATTATGATAGTAATTTAGAGGGAATAATAATCATCCTTGAGTAGCTCAAATTATATGTTAATTCCTCTAGTTGCAATAATATTCAACATTTCAAATATCACATGTGTATTATGATAGTAATTTAGAGGGAATAATAATCATCATTGAGCCTGCTTGAAATTGAGAAAATCAACAACACGAACGAATGATCCTTTCTAATTCTTTGAAGTAAAATTATTAATCGGATAAAAATCCACAAGGTTTCCCACTCGACTATCGGGAAGAAAACAAACGTCCTCGAGGATCGAAGATGATTTATCTTTATCTCCGTCTCTCTGCGTCTCTTTCTATCCACGGAGAGCGTATGTTGATGACTTACCTCGTTCCAATACATGACGAACACGTGACAGACACCGTCGACGACGATTCCGCTTGGGCCCCTTCAATGACGATCGAGAGATCGCCGGCGCTCGATGGATCACACGGGTGCGTCGGACACTGACTGATCCATCCCGCGCTTTCCCGACGTACTGGAAGTGGCAGGTGCTCCCACCTCCTTTGATAAACACGGTGCACGCTCGGTATCGCTGCCTTTTCCTTCGGCTCGAGCATAATTCACGGGCGTGCATCGTGAACGGTACGCTGATAAGGGAGCCACCTTGAGTCGGTTCTGGCACCGGTCAATGGATATCCTCGAGCATTTAAACTACTCGTTGTCGCATATTTTCTTGCGTTTATTTACTTTCACTGTGGGCCATCGAGATCCGCCAGTTGAGCCTGGAATGTAAATAAAAGGTGGAATGTAGCTGTTGGGTACAATGGATTTCAGCAGATTTTCGTGTGTTTACATGTCTTCACATTGGAGTATATCTCGTATAGTTCAATGGATTTCAGTATATTTTTAGGGGTTTATATGGTTTTTTTTACGTTGGAATATAACACCAAAGTGTAATGGACCGCTGTATATTTTCTTGTGTTTATATTTGCCCACCTAAGCACTTTCGAGATAAAAGATTCGAGTGTTTTTTTCTCGTCGAAAAAGAAATTTTAAATCGTGCTGAAAAAATTATTTTTAGTTGTGGGAGTCGGTTACAATCATTTTTGGTGAAGAGACATACCCCCGAAATCCTAAGCACTTTCGAGAAAAAAATTCTTTACCGAAAATATCATTTCTGGCTAGAAATGCTTCCTCGCATATAAATCTTTAAAATACCATAACTTCTGAACGGATTGGTGGATTTTAAAGTTCAAAAATGCAAACAACGCGTATTTTGGTGCAGAATATGTAGACATTCCAAGAATATTCGAAAAGTTGTTTTTTAACCCCTTCAAATGAGAAAATCTCCATAAAAATGGTCCCATCTTCAAACGTCCATAACTTCTACAATAGTGAACGTATCCCAATGAAATTTAGTATGGAACTAGAGCTCGTGGATACCTATAAAAAAGTACTAAACAAAATTTCCGTAGGACGTCAAGCAAATTTATTAAAAATGAAAAACGAATTTTTAAGAAAAATCGACGAAGGGTGGTGCTGCTAAAATTTTTCGGCGAAAAAAAAATGTCAAATCATCCTGAAAAAATTATTTTCAATTGCAGGGATCAATTATAATCATTTTTGGTCAAGAGACATACCCCCGAAATCCTACTCACTTTTGAGAAAAAAATTCGAGTAGCTATGAAATTTTTCAACAAAATTAAAAAATGTCAAATCATTCTAAAAAAATTATGTTTATTTGCAGGGTTCAATTACAATCATTTTTGGTCAATAGGCATACCCCTCAAATCCTAAGCACTTTCGAGAAAAAAATTCAATAAGTGGACAAATTTTTCGGCGAAATTAAAAAATTTCAAATCGTTTTAAAAAAATTATTTTTAGTTGTGGGAATTAATTACAATCATTTTTGGTGAATAGACATACCCTCGAATTCCTAAGCACTTTCGAGAAAAAAATTCAATAAGCGAACCAATTTGTCGGCGAAATTAAAAAATTTCAAATCGTTTTAAAAAAATTATTTTTAGTTGTGGGGGTCAATTACCATCATTTTTGGTGAATAGACATACCCTCGAAATCCTAAGCACTTTCGAGAAAAAAATTCTTTACCGAAAATACTATGTCTGACCAGTGTCTATATTAATAAATATGTTTAAAAACTCATAACTTCTAAACGGATTGAAGGATTTTAATGTTTCAACGTGTAAACAACGCGTATTTTAGTCAAGAATATATAGAAATTTTAAGAATGTCCGAAAAACTATTCCTTAACCCCGTAAAGTAGAAAAAAACCCCATAAAAGTGGTCCAATTTTCAAACAGCCATAACACATACAATAGTGAATATATTTCAATGGAACTTTTTTTTTAAGTAGAGCTCATTGGTACCTACAAAAAAGTTATAGACAAATTTTCCGTATCGCGTCAAACAAAATTACTAAAAATCAAAAACGTTTTTTTAAGAAAAATTGACAGGGGATAGGTGCCTAAATTTTTCGGCGAAGAAAATTGTTCCTCAACCCAGGTATATTTTCTTGTATTTATATATTTAATCTTGGAATATGACTCTAAGGTCCAATGTGAATTCCAGTGTATTTTCTCACGTTTCTATGCTTTCGACTCAGCCATCAAAGCCTGGTAATAACAAAAGATCAATACTTAACTGGTACTTGTTTCGTTCGCGTTTGTATATTTAAGAAAGAAAAATAACGATTTCGAATCCCACTGAGAGTACAAACTCTCAATAAAATGGAGTTCACTGAAACCCACAATGATAGCAATGTATCCGAAAAGGAAGTGTGGTACTCTCGAGCTAATCGAGTCGATACGTCAAACGGTATAACGCGAAGTTGATTGGCGGGGATGAGGCCATTGTAGCGGGAAATGGGGAGAAACGATCTAGAGAAGAGACGTACAGGCGTATCAACATCTGATGACCTATTTACTCTCTTGTACAAGTTACTATAACTTTCATATTTTACTTTTCTTTTCAATTTAACAAAGCCTTAAATTCTTCTGTTCATATGCATTTGCAAGACAACAAATAATCGATCCTAAACTGCTTTTAAGCTAGAAATATCCAAGCTCGTCTCCTCCTCTATGGATCACGAGATCTACGTTTACACTGTTTAACACTTCGTTGGTCGCGCGGGTGACACGGGTCAGCCACCCCCATATTTCTCTCCCTGATTCCACAACCTCATCGACTTCACAACTCCTCGCCTTTAAAAGTACCGAAAAATTCTTTTTCAAACGTGAAAAATGGCCACGCGTCGATCGTTTAAATGAACTTTACTATATCTTCGCGTGTGTTTACCTTTGTCGTAAAATTACGTGTTTGTTGCTCGATCGAGCAAACATTTATCACCATTACCGTACGAAAATTTTGAACGTAACGCGCGTTGGAACGCAGTCGAGCAAAATTGTTTTCGGAACAACCAATAAACCAATGTATATCAATTTACGCGCGACGTTTGCTCGATCGGAAACAATTCGCTCCGTGATCGAAACTTTTGTTCTCGATTTCGCAAAGGAACCAGTTACCTTTCATGGAATGCTCGAAAATTCACGTGGAACCGATATAAATATTTTAATCGTAACGGAGGGGCCGTGACGCGAAAAAAAAAGGAATAAATTTGGAGTAGAATCGAGACGGAGCAACATCGACTTAAATCCCCTTTAAGCGTCCAGATATCATCCGCCTGGACGTTCCACATTCTTTTCCCGTCGTCGGTTGTCGCTAATAATCCTGATTCACGGGCCCGCGCTGTCAATAACTCTGTAAGCTTTCGAAATTCGCCGCTGTAAATCGCGGTTATCGAACGACAGCGCCTCATCGGCTGCAATCGTCCCGCCTGCATACCGCGTTGCATCGAGGACGACAGCAATTTGATTACGTGCGAACAACCGACGAATCAGGCCACCCGAAAAGATAAAATTACCCGTTCGCGTCTCTAGCGTACCGTATCGCTGAAACTTAAACGCCAATCGATGCCGCTCTGCACTCGTTAATCGTCGTTAACTATTTCAGAATGGCCTTGTTAATTGCGCATTGTTATTCTTTGTGACACCTAACTACCAAACGGTGCTGCATTTATTAAATTAAAATCAACCTGCAGGGCCATTCAACATGTCAACAAACATGTCAACGTTTGTTCGAATTATAGAGACATTGATATATTCGATAATTCAATGGGGAATTTGTTATTTTAGAATATTTTAGATTGAAATTGTTTCTATGAGTGTCTGGGTTCTTCCATTTGTGAACAATATTGCAAGTTCAAAGCGACGGTCACCGGTGACCACCGGTGGCAATCAACGTGTTTATTAAATTAAAATCTTCCTGCAGGGCCATTCAACGCGTCAACAAACATGTCAACGTTTGTTCGAATTATAGATATATTGATGTATTCGATAATTCAATGGGAAGTTTGTTATTTTAGAATATTTTAGATTGAAATTGTTTCTATGAGTGTCTGGGTTCTTACATTTGTGAACAATATTGCAAGTTCAACGTGACGGTCACCGGTGACCACCGGTGGCAATCAACGTGTTTATTAAATTAAAATCTTCCTGCAGGACCATTCAACGCGTCAACAAACATGTCAACGTTTGTTCGAATTATAGAGATATTGATATATTCGATAATTCAATGGGGAATTTGTTATTTTAGAATATTTTAGATTGAAATTGTTTCTATGAGTGTCTGGGTTCTTACATTTGTGAACAATATTGCAAGTTCAACGTGACGGTCACCGGTGACCACCGGTGGCAATCAACGTGTTTATTAAATTAAAATCTTCCTGCAGGGCCATTCAACGCGTCAACAAACATGTCAACGTTTGTTCGAATTATAGATATATTGATGTATTCGATAATTCAATGGGAAGTTTGTTATTTTAGAATATTTTAGATTGAAATTGTTTCTATGAGTGTCTGGGTTCTTTCATTTGTGAACAATATTGCAAGTTCAAAGCAACGGTCACCGGTGACCATCGGTGGCAATCAACGTGTTTATTAAATTAAAATCTTCCTGCAGGGCCATTCAACGCGTCAACAAACATGTCAACGTTTGTTCGAATTATAGAGATATTGATATATTCGATAATTCAATGGGGAATTTGTTATTTTAGAATATTTTAGATTGAAATTGTTTCTATGAGTGTCTGGGTTCTTACATTTGTGAACAATATTGCAAGTTCAACGTGACGGTCACCGGTGACCACCGGTGGCAATCAACGTGTTTATTAAATTAAAATCTTCCTGCAGGACTATTCAACGCGTCAACAAACATGTCAACGTTTGTTCGAATTATAGATATATTGATGTATTCGATAATTCAATGGGAAGTTTGTTATTTTAGAATATTTTAGATTGAAATTGTTTCTATGAGTGTCTGGGTTCTTACATTCGTGAACAATATTGCAAGTTCAAAGCGACGGTCACCGGTGACCACCGTGTTGTACACTAGAATTACTTGTTTCAACGAATAAAAAAAGAAATATATAATTATAATTTACTATAATTTACTTGTTTGTAAGTTATAACATTTTTAAACAATTTTAACTGACAAGATTCAGTATAAAAAATTGTCACATAGATTCATATTTTATTAAATATCTCGTGAACTAACAGAGACAAGAGAATTACGTGAATGTGTGAGAAT